CAAGAAACCTTCCACAAGTATTACCATGAGTGAAAATTCTATTGAATCTGAATCCACACACTTGTGAATTTCTTCATTCCATAAAAAATAAGATTTATATAAACACAGTTCTATTAGTGATTTTATTTCTGAAATGCTGAGTTTTGGTAATTTATTTAAATTTGGGAAGAGACCTAATATATCAAGAAGAATTTTTGTGGTCTCTTCCACAGGGATTGATGAATATAAATTGACAATGTTGTAAGGCATTGTCAACTTATATTGATCTTAATCAATTTATATTCATATTAAACCTATTTTTCATTGTTTGATATAATACGAAGTTTAACTGTTTTTACAAAAGTTGACGAATTCTTTAACTTTGTTATGTTTTTATTTAAAATTGATTGAAATATATTTACTAAATATTGTGATATGCCATAACTTGGTTGCCCCGATGGTTGAAACAACTAGTCACATAGAGTATGAGTTTTCTGGTTTGTGTGCTTTAATTGCACCATATGTATGTTTGTTTTTTTCTTTTTTTGTTATTTATTGGACTTGAAGCGATTTTGATATTCATTTATGTTTTATACATTTTTTAAGAAAGAATTTATTGGTTCTTCGATTTTTGAAGAAAGATATATTGGTTCTTCGATTTTGCTATATCAACAGTTATTAATAGCAAGAACAAATTTAAATAATGGTCAATATGTAATTCTGAGCACCATATATTTTATACTTATGTAACATTAAAGAAGCCTATTTAAAGAGAACTTTAAAGGAACCATTAAAAAGTTTGTTTCTAATTAAATATAATTAATAGTTTGTAATTAAAGTTGAAGATGCTAGTATTGCCAACTTATCAGCTTCCTACCAATGGAACAGTTTTAAGACATTAACAGTATCTTATCAGTTCTAGATCAAATCTATTTAAAAGCTTAAATACAAACTTTGCATGTGCAATTGGCAAAAATTTTGATTTGGTATGCAAAGAAAACACAACATATCAGCGAGGAAATGAAAACTTTTGTCTCCTCCGAAAAATAGTAAACCTCTGAAAACTTTTGTCTCTTCGAAAAAATAGTAAACCTCTGGAAACTTTGCAGATTTGGTAACTATTTAATTTCTGAATCAAAAGTTATTGACAAGTTTGTAAAACTTCACAAAAAATAGCAGCTTATGGTACAACAACAAAATCTAACTTGGAAGATAGAAAGCAAAGAACAAAAAAATAGAGTTTTAAGTAAAAACATTTTAACATTATTTTGTACTATGTGGATTTGTATAATGATATAATATACTTAGAGATGATATGTAGAGCAATTTATTATATATTTAATTTTTTTTAGAGTATAATTAAAGGCCTTTTTGATATTGGCAAATCAAATATAAAATAACTAATCCGTCAGAGTATAGATATGCCCAGAAACAAAAAGGCTATAATGAAAGATATTTCATTTATTGAAGATCTGAGAAATGAAAGAGTTCAGTTCATTATTCACATTAAAGATAAGGAATTAGAAGCAAGAGTTGAAAGGAGAATAGAGAGATATGCAAAGTATACTAGATACTAGATACAAGATACTAGAAAAAAATGGTGGCAGATGGTGCTTGTGAACAATAATTGAAAATGAAGAAGATATCACTGTATGCTTTGAAGTTGAAATATATGTCTTTCAGCTGATTATGGCTTGGGAGTGAAACCCAATTGCAAAAAAGCAAGTTTGTGTTTAAAAGGTGTTCATTTTCTGTATTAAATCTTATTTTTAGTTTATATTTTATATAGATTCTAAAGATGAGTTCAAAGCAGAGTAGAAATAAAATTAAATAGAGAGACTGTAAGACAGAAGCGCTATGAAACTATATCACAAAAGATATTGAAATACGAGAAAATTATAGAGATGAATGAGTTAAAAAACATTCTCCATTTTGATGGTAAAGTAGTTAGCCATATTGAAGAAAAATCAAAGCAGAAAATTAACCGTGACCGAATTGGTGTTTCTGTTAGAAGCCCAGCATTTGGGCATAAAGATGGTCTTCTTCTAGGAGTTGTACAATGAAAATATGGAAAAGAACTTCATCAGGTTTTAGTTAAACAAAATCTGTTGGAGAATTTTGAAGTACTCAACCAAGTTTTTGCAGTTTGTACTGACGCTACTACCTCGAATACAGGCAGATTGTGTGGAACAATTTTAACAAGAATTTAAAAAAAAATCACTGCTTTGATTAATGTATAGACATCATATTTACAAACTGTACATCAAACATGTTTACAAATCAATAACTGGGATTAAAAGCAAAGCCCAAATAATAAACTTTTTTCCAACTTTAGGAAGCGATGGGAGGAATTTTTGCCATTAATTCGTGCTCTAGATGGTAACTATAAATTTAAAAGATTTTCTGAGAACTCATCATTTGCAAAGAGTTTTATATATTTTTCTTTGAATGACACAACTTTTCAAGGGACAATTAAAAGAATATCTAGCTTTTTATTTTAACTTCAACTCTGATAAGTTGAAAGATTTTAAAATTTATCAGCCCAGCGCCTGTCATGCAGCTTGTTTGATGGTAGATTTCATATATCACCTAGTTTTTGAAATTTCATCGCCAGTAATTGATTATCTACATGAACAACAAAAAGAAAATGTTTCTAAGATGTGTTTTATAATTAGAATTTTCCATGTACTCATATTTTTAGTCTAGTCTTGCTAAGCATTCTGTTTTAAATGACTTTAGAGCTTTCAATAATGCACAAATTGTACAAAAAGAATGGAACTTAAAGGTAGTTAATGCTGAAGAGTATGCAAGCTCATTCTTGGTACTTATCTCCTAAACCAGTTGTTATGGTTTTAGCTGATTCACCTCTTGATTTACAAGCTAAATCAGAAAAAAAACTTTACTTCAGCATAAATTGAAATTATAAACTTCAAGAAGCCAACAGTTGTTATTTTTAATGATAACACCCAATTGAAAGATTTGATTACAGAGGAAAGTTGGTTTATTTTTAAAACTGGATTTAGTTATTGAGATTATGGTTTGGTTATATACCATTTATACTAAAGGCAACTTAAAGAATCTTGAATCTTGAAATAACTTTGTTTTTTTTTATCAAAAACTTAAGTGTTACAAAATGATTGTGCTGATAGGAATATCGGTATAATCCAGCAATTTGTTGGCTCATCTCAAAATGAAGAACAAAGACAAATTATCCCATTAGTAATCAGACAGCATTGCAAATAAATATCTACAAGTATTTTCCAAAAAGAATTAAGCCATCTTTAATAAATAAAGATAAAAATATTAAGAAAATATATTTATGCAGTTGTTTTTATTTTTTATACCATAGCTTTTGAAATTATAACGAAAAAACTGGTAAAAATGTGTTATTGGCATAAAAACCCAAGTTTTACATAAAACTCTTCCTCTTTGACTTTTGAGCTAAAAAAATTTTATAAATTTCTAAATGACCATACAACAGCTTTTCACATAGCGGTATTTTAAATTCCAAAAAAAGTTAAAAACCTCAAAAAAAATTGTCACTTTAATATACATATATATACATACACACATATATATATATATATATATATATATATATATATATATATATATATATATATATATATATTTATATATATATATATATATATATATATATATATATATATATATATATATATATATATATATATATATATATATATATATATATATATATATATATATATATATGATATATATATATATATATATATATATATATATATCATATATATATATATATATATATATATATATATATATATATATATATATATATATATATATATATATATATATATATATATATATATGATGATGATCTTTTGTATTCTAAAATTGTGATTATGATACTATTTAATATTCCTTTGCAATGACATCGGCTGATGATTGCCATTAGGCATGAAACTTAAAGTTCCATAATAAAAGTTTTTTCTTTTTTCGTTTTTAATTATATATATATATATATATATATATATATATATATATATATATATATATATATATATATATATATATATATATATATATATATATATGTAGCAAAATTAAACTTTTACTACTTGATGATTGTGGTAACACATGAAACTCAGAGTTGCAATATTAAACTATATTATAAACATTAGCATTTAGCTAATTCCTGGTACTGCGGGTAACAGTAACGTATACACTATATATATAATATATATTATAGTGTATGTATATATACAAATAGTATTGCGTACTAAGGTAAGCAATCTAACGTCATACTGAAATAGCCTGCTGCTGGGGGCTTCAGTACATACATCGACTGACAAATAGCCTGACTGTCAGTGGAGTGCTGCTACATTGACTGAGGGTTTGGGATGGGGCAGCAATCGTTTCATTCATAATTTTTTGTTTTTTTTCTTTTTCTAAAAAAGTGGTATGGGTTTAGGTAAGCAGAAAAAGTGAGCAAATGCTTATAAAAAGACGCTTTAGTAAGTGTATATAAATAGTAATATATATATATATATATATATATATATATATATATATATATATATATATATATATATATATATATATATATATATATATATATTCATATATATATATATATATATATATATATATATATATATATATATATATATATATATATATATATATATATATATATATATATATATATATATATATATATATATATTAGGGTGAGAAAAAAAGTTTATTGCAGAGAAAAGACATTTTATAACTAAAAATGAAAGAAGTATATTTTTTTAATAATAATTCTTAAAACATCTTAATTTTTTTTATAAAATGATTATTTTTAAAATTTTTATATAGTTTCGTTTCTTTTGAGACCCAACATTTATAAAAAAAAGTTTTTTAATATTTTAATATATATATATATATATATATATATATATATATATATATATATATATATATATATATATATATATATATATATATATATATATATATATATATATATATTAGAGGCTTTTTTTTAGAAAGAAGAACAAGAAAAGGAAAAACACCCATTTTTTATAAAAGCATCTGACATTTCAAAAGAGGTATTACAAATTTTTAATATTATAAAAAAAAATTTTTTAATTAATGTGAGAATCTAAAGAAAAATTATAAAATTAATAAAAGTTTTCTATAAGTATATTGAAAGCAGAAGCAAATATGTTGATTTATTTTAATTAGTTGATAAAAACCAAACAAAAACAGGTAATTGAAAATCACGGTTGGCATAATAGTATTATTAGGATTATATGGCGTTCAAACCTCTAATCTCTAGCACACGATGTAATTATATTTTATCTATCTGAATGTTTTTATTTACATTAATATTAATTTAAATTTCATTTAAATTTATATTAATGTAAATTTTATTTAAATTTCAGAAAACTTTATGCCATATTTTGGTTTAGTTACTGACCAAATTTGTTTTAAATGTAATTTTATTAAGTATAAAGATATTAGATTTTCAATTTTTAATTTTAAAAACATTTTAAAAGTTTTTTTTTAGAAAGAAAAGCCAGAAAAAACAATCCAATCTTTTTTCATCAAAGCATCTGATTTGGAAAAAGAGGTTTTTATTCATTTATTTTTGATAAACATGCCAATAAATATTTAAAAAAACCTATAAATAAAGTGTTCAAAAAACTAACATCCTTTTGATGGTGAATAAAAAAGTTGATGTTATGGAGAAGGTATTGCTATGGAGTGTAGTAGTAATTACAGAACAGACTTAAATCTGATATCTAGCATATTTAGAAATCATGAAACAAATTTTATTGAATTATTATTTTAGCAGTGCACATGTAAATCACTTTGGGTAAAATATATATACTAACGATAATGAAACAAATTTATAATGATAAAACGCAACTTTTTTATCATAAAAATATGATGTGTTTTTTAAAAATAGTTACATAAAATAATGTGACTTACAATATATACACAAGTTTTTGCAATTGTTTTAACCTTTACTTTAATTGCTTTAAAGCAATTAGTGCAAAATTAAAACAATGTTATCAAGTTAACGAATTAAACTCAAAAAATGTCAAAGTTTTTCTCTAAAAAAATGGCTATTGAAAAATGGCAATTTGACAGGCAGTTTGATTCTTTCAGTTTGATTAGATTTAAATCAGGTTAGAATATTTTTGGGTATTTTTGTTCCAACCACTTGATTTTCTGTAAAGCATCCTTATCTGACACAAGTTAATGTGAATAAACGAGTTAAGAGTTTGTTAAATGCTTTAAATTTTGCTACATGCTTTAAAAATTTCATCAAAAACACCAAATGCTTGCTTTTTTTACTAATAAACATTTTCTCTCTTTGCTCTTTGTTTGGTATCTGGTGAAGATTAAGTTCTCTGAAAGTTATTCTTGCTCTTTGTTTGGTATCTGGTGATGATTAAATTCTCTGAAAGTCATTCTTGCTCTTTGTTTAGTATCTGGTGAAGATTAAGTTCGCTGAAAGTTATCCTTGCTCTTTGTTTGGTATCTAGTGAAGATTAAGTTCTCTGAAAATTATTCTTGCTCTTTGTTTGGTATCTGGTGAAGATTAAGTTCTCTGAAAGTTATCCTTGCTCTTTGTTTGGTATCTGCTGAAGATTAAGTTCTCTGAAAGTTATTTTTGCTTAATTATAACATCTTTGTCCTTTTGAAAGCTCTGAAAATATTTTTATAAAAAATGCTTTGGATTATTACTGCATAATATTTTTTTTTACTCTGTTTGATTTTAAGTTGCTTTTTTTTTGCTAATAAATAAAATTTTTGTTTTGTTTATTTTTGTTTTAATGGTTTTATGTACTGTTGTATTGTTAAATGACATTTGTACTAATTTTCAGGTAGGTACCAAGTGCAGTTTTAATTACAAGTGTTATTAATTATTTTAATTAGTTATGTTGTAATAATTAGGTAATATAAGTTTAGTGTGATGATTACGTTAATCTCAGAAATATTTTTTTAATTGTAATTATTTCTATTCAAGTTTAGTTTTATTTTATTTTTATATTGCTTTAAAGATCAAATTGGATAAAAAAATTTGTATAATTGTGTTTAATAAAATCATTTGTAAAATTTAAAATGTATGTTTGTACACAATGCAACACAATGTGGCTTATTATTTAAAACACATATGTTGTGCTAATTGAATTGAAACAAGAAACACACTAATAAAAAGTATTTGTATATATTACACAAGTACGCAAATACAATGGTATTACATTTTTTTTCATTGTGTAAACTTTTTTTTTAAACCTAGAATAAGAAAATCAACAATACAAATTTTGAAGAAAATGAGGAACTGAAAAGCAATAATAGGTTATATAATGGTGAACGAAAGCGTAAATATGATCACAACTCCTCATGTCAAAATAATACTTCACCAAAACAACATACTTGTTCAAAGTCTACAAAGTTAGAATTACTTGATGACAACATTTCACAAGATGTAAAATATAATAAAATAATGCAAATAACTCATCAGGATTCCTCTAATACTCAGTTACATTCAACAAAGCGAAAAAAAGATTTTAGTAAAAATACTAAAACTAATGATCATGTGACAAATGTAAAAAATTCTGTAAATCAAACAATTCTCACTGAAATGATTCCAGATGCTGAAGAAGATTATTTAGATGTCAAAGATAAAAGTTTTGAACAAATAAAATCTAGAACTGTTAGTGAAAGTGATGTTGATGTTATCACTTCTACTTACGATATAAATGAAAATCTTCAAAGCGAGTCTAAAACAAGAACAAGTAGTGAAAGTGACATTGATATAATTAATGAAACTTCTAGTTGTGACATTAAAGAACAACTTCGACAAGATTTGAAATTTAAATCAAATGAATTAATAGAACATAATACAAACCAGGTTCAAAAAAAAACTTTGTTACAATCAAAAGAAGCTTCTAAAATGTTCTCATACTTAGACAAAGCTACTGGTTTATCAAAAGTGCTTGGTCCAAATGAGGGAAAAGATCACCAAATCATTCATAAACCAGATGAAAAGATCGTTGCTCACTATGTGGTAAAATACTTATCCAAATATAATGAAATGAAGCGAATTAAAACAAAGGTTTGTTATTTATTTATAATTTAGTGAGAGCAAAAAAGTTTTTATTTTAAAGTTAATTTTTTCGAAGTTTATTATTTTTGACTGAATAAAGTTTTGATTAAATTTTGAATTTGGTTTATTTAGAGGCTATTACCTGAAGATTAGTCATAATGAACTAATTGTTTAGTCGTTTAAGGAGTCCATAAATTTTTGTTTTTTCCTAAAAAGTTATTCATTAAAACTGAAACTTCTTTGCCCTTTTTTGTTTTTTTATTTGATCTATTAAATCAATGTTGTTTGTAAGAAATATTTCAAATGGCTTCCTAGGAGCTATTATTTATAGTATTTGTATTTATACAGTATACATATTACTAGTAATGTATAAATAATAGTTTTTTTTAACTTTGTGTTGAGGATTTAAAAAACAGTTTAAACATTCATTTTTATCTTTTGAAAAGTGTTAGAGGTTATGAACTAATTTTCACTTTTTAATTAGTGCACTCCTTTTTTACTTTATTTCTTTGAAGTTTTTCACTTTGTTTTATTTTATGTCTGTGTACTTTATTCTTTATTCCTATTTACTTAGTTTCTTTACTTAAATATATTCTGTTTCACTATAATTATTCCATGTCAATATAGTTACTCTGTTTTATTGTAATGATTCCATTCCACTGTAGTTATTCCATTATGTTGCTATGTTGCTTGAATCAAGTATTTAATGCTTTAAATTTACAATTGTCACAATTTTTTCAAGTTAATTTTTTTATGTGTAGGATTTGTTCAAAGCATTAGCTAAGTCAATTACCTATAAAGTAATGAAAGAAAAAGATCCAAAAGGTATAAATATTTCATATTTTTTATCACAAAAGGTATAAACTATTTTATATTATTAATTTTTAAGAATTTAAATCAATAAAATATAAAGCTACACAAACAAATTTACATTTTAAAAATCAATATCTTTGAAAAGATATTTAGTATGTTAAAACTTTTTTAGCTGATATAAAACTAAATTTAATTATGATATTTAAATTATTTTAAACATTTATTTATGGTAAAAAATTTTATTGTGTTTTAATTGGAATTTTAAAATGCCATTTGGTTAAACCTCATATTGCAAAAAATCAAAAATTGTGTTGTTTTTAAGTTCTGTACCTTATTGAAAAAGTAAACAGCTAGAACATAACATACTTGCAACCCTCTAAGTTAGGAAAAATGAGATTGGCAATAATTTGCCAGCCTCAAACCTTTTGAGGCCGGCATCAGGTCGGCAAAAATTATTTGATATAAAGGTCTAACCATAAAACATAGAAACAAGGGCGGCAATTTTTTGCAGACCTTAAACACTTTCAGGTCAGGCCTTAAACACTTTCAACTTAACACGTGCCTTAAATACTTTTTCACAGGCCTTAAACACTTTTCGACCTTACACACTTTCAGGTTTTTCAGGTTTCTTTGCTGACCTTAAACACTTTCAGTTAAGCAGTTAGTTGCCAAATGTCAACCTTAATTCCGAGAGTTGTACTTGTTATTCAGCAGGTTATATTTAAGATTTTTTTTTTTTGACTCTAGAATTATCACAACATTTGTACAAAGTATTTGGAAAAACTTTTTTGAAATGTAATACGATTTTTACTTTCATTTTTTAAAAATGTTTCAAATGATGACTAAATGCAACTTTTATTTTTATATGATAAAAATAGATTGTGCTAATTAACTTGTATCAAATTATTTGTTACTATAAGATTTCATTAATACAAAATAATTTTTTAAATGATCAAGTTTGGGATATAAACTATTATCATACCTAAAAACTCCAAAAGTATTATATAATATATTTATTTGTATGTGTTTATATATAATATATTTAAAACTTAATAGTCAATGACATAACAATATACAACAAGGGAAAAAAACTATAAAAAAATGCAGAGTTTTTGTGCTAATCACTTCTAGCTGAGATTTAAATGTTGAAATGTGTTGCTAGTTTAAAATACTCTCGAATATCTGAAATTTAAATCATAGAATTCATTATTGAATAAAATGTCCTTTTCATTATTATTTTAATGCCATTGGTTCTTTTTATTTATTTTCTTATTCATTTTCTTTCAATTTTTTTCATTTCGCTGAATAATAACTCGCTAAGAAATCTTGTTAAGATATTGTATGATTTGAGCTTCTGCATATGTTCATTTTGCATAGTATGTAATGTTTATTTTGCGTATTCTGTTTAATGTTTGTTTTGCATAGTATGTAGGGTAATGAGACAAGAGTATGTAGGCAAATGAGAAAAATTGCATTTATTATGATCCCAACCTCACAATTAATTTTTTTAATGATTTTCAAAAGTTTAGTTGCATTCCAAAATCATTTATTGTTACAAAAAATATCTTGAGTCACTTTAAAATAAAGAAGATGAAGAGAAGGACAATCATTTCATCTCTTGGCTATATGGCAAATATGCATTTCAATGCATTGTTGTTTTAATTTTTCTTTGTGTTTTTTAATCTCACATAGTGGAAAAATGTTTTATATTCAAAATTTGTGTTTTAATATCATCTTTAGGCATGCTCTATCATTTCCATACATTGATATTTTATTTCTATTATAAAAATTGCTAATAAATTACACAATTTTGATGCCAACATGTTGTAGGGCAAAATGTGGTGTTTTTGTTTTGTTTGTTTTGCCGATATCAACCTTTTTTTTTTTTTTAATATTTTATATTATAACAACAAACATAATAAATAATATTTGTAAATATTAACATTTACTCTATTATTTGAAATATTAGAGTAAATATTATTATTTACATACTGTATATTTATATATTTTATGTTTTAATATTTGCTGTGTTTAGTTATTATCCAACATGTTATTATGCTTTATATTTTATTTACTTATATTTATCTGATATTTTTATATTTTATACAAGAAGTAAATTCTATTGTATTCAATATATATATATATATATATATATATATATATATATATATATAAAAGTTGTTAAAAGTTAAACATGGTTAGAAACTGTAAAAGAAAAACTACTTGTGGCAATTTTTCTGAGAAAAGCATGTTATTAGCAATCGACTCTGTAAAGTTAAAAGAATTGTCATTGAGAAAAGCAGCTTTGACATTTAATGTAAATAAAGATGCTTTACACAAAAGGATTCAAAAAAAGTTACGGAATTTAGACTCTAATAATATAAATAAAAGATCTTGGTTCATTTAAAAAAGTATCTGATGATACAGAAAGTCAATTAGTTAACTACATAAAAAAAATGGATTCAGTTTATTATGAATTGTCCATAAGTAACATTCAACTAATTGTCTTCCAGTATGTTGAAAAGTACAAAATAGTTCACCCATTTAGTAAATATAGTGTTGCAGAAAGAGAATTTGTAAGTGGTTTTTTAAAGAGACATCTTGACTTTTCAATCAGAAAGCCTCAAGGATTGTCTTTAAATTGTGTTTATGTTTTAAACAGCAAATCTGTGTACAATTATTTCAATAATATAGAAACTGTTATGAAAAAGTACAAGTTTAAATCTCATCAAATTTTTAACTATGATTAATCAGGCATTACAACTATATATATATATATATATATATATATATATATATATATATATATATATATATATATATATATATATATATATATATATATATATATATATATATATATATATATATAATTACATATTATACACCTGTTCAAATTATAACAAAAAAAGGAAAACACACAAGCTTCTATTCTAGTTGAACAAAAGGAATTCACTAAACTTCTTATTGTTGGAGATTTCAACTACCCCAGAATCAAATGTAATAGCTCTGGTAGATTCTCTACAGTATCCGATCCACAGGCAAGTGCATTCCTCAAAACAATTCAAGAATATCTGCTCACTTAGTTTGTCCTACAACCAACATTTATCAAAAATCAACTTGACCTTGTGTTATCAAATAATCCGTCATACATTTATAATGTAAAAGTTGATTCCCCTCTTGGAACCAGACATAAAAATCACCTAAATGCTATGCTCTTTTGGGATTTTATAATTAAAAATAACCGTTTGGGCAGCTTCAACAAAAGTTGTAAACATCTCAACTTCAAACACACTGACTTTAAAAGCATTATTAGCTACTTCAATGTGATTAATTGGGTCCTGGAATTAGCTAACCTGACAGTTACCAGTGTTATGCCCATCTACTGAAATCTCACCAATTCAAGTTGTACTAGGTGACTACATTTCTGATTGGTTGAATGTCCTCAGTGGAGTTCTGCAAGGTTCTGTAATAGGACCCCTTCTCTTCGTTATCTTTATCAACAATATGCCTCAATAACTCATCATTGCTGTAAACTCTTTGCCAACGATACAAAACTAATCAAAACTAATAGCTGTTATCAAAAACACCTCCATGCGTGACCTTGGTATCATTGTCAATGACCAACTTAAGTGGCAAGACCAAGTCATACACGCTGCAGCCAAAGCCAATACTGCACTAGGCATGTTAAAAAGAACATTCCATTGGAACATTAACAGCTTTCCTGTACTTTATACAACTTATGTACGAACACATCTTAAGTTTTGCTCTGCTGCCTGGAGTCCTTAATATTGTGGAGACATAGATGCTCTCAAATCAGTTTAAGAAAAGCCACTAAGCTTCATCTTATCTCAAGCCTTCAAGTTATCACCAAAGACTAGCCAAAATAAACATTCAATTGCTTAAGGATAGAAGACCTAATACAGTTTTTTAAACTATACCACAGCATTAACAAAATTGAGCTTTGTAAACCAAACTCATTGGCACTAAATGTGCAAGGACCAGCCAACTGCCTCTGTGGCCAACAAAATGAATTGACATTTATCATAGCGGGACTCCGTTAGATGCTTTGCTTGCAAATGTTTAAGCAATTGCTATAATTTATGTATATTATTATTATTATTATTGTGTTTCCTCTGTAACTAGAGGCGAATGAGGTGTAACGACAACTGTTGTTTGTGAACGTGACTGGACAATTTATTTCACCAACGGTGATTTTAAAAATAAAGAGAATGAAATTAGAGCTTATCAATCATACTCTAAGTGGAACAATTGAAGGATGCTCTATAAATGACTGAATTACAACCGATCTGTTTATAGAGTATATAAAACATTATACTAATAGCACTAGAGCTTCTATCAAAATTAAATTCTATTATAAAACACATACAAAAAGCATTAGTTTGTTAGATTTTGCAAAGGAAAACGGAGTAGTTATTATTTGATTAAAGCTTTTTAAAACCGCTTTTTATAATATAGAATGTGAATCATGGTTGCCTGAGTATCCTGGACAAAAAATAATAAATGGTCAACTTAGAGGTATATTCTCCAAAGCCTATCATAAAGCCGCCTTCCTAGAAGTTGCCTGTTCTGGCTTTTGTACATCTGAAATTTATCATTTGTGTTGGGATATAATTCCAGATATTAAGTTTAAAAATGACAAAAGCTCTAATGCCTACTTACATAAACCTGATAAAAATCACAAGTTACTTCAAGCACCATATTACCTTTGTTGTCTGGATGTTCAGAAAATATTGATTTTGATATAGTAACACCCCGCTTTTCTAATATTTTAGCTATTCCAAAGATCACTTTACCATCAAAAAAGAGGGAAGAATCACAGATAATAACATCATCACCTTACAGATGATGTTATCATCTGTAATGGGATGTCATCACATTACAGAAAATCACATTGTAAATTGTTAGAAAAAAACAATTTTAGAAAAAAGAACTTGATATTTTCCAAATTTTGTAATGTTATAAAAAGATGGTAAAAGATTTGTAATGTT